GAGTGCACCCGCCCTGCAGGGAGCTGCAGAGGGAGAAGGTCCCCCCTGAACTTCCTGCAGACAGGGAGGCGTCCCCCTTGGCTTCCTTTTCCCCAGGCTGAGCTGCCCCCACTCCCCCAGCCGCTCCTTGAAAAAATTGTTCTCGACTCCCTTCACCAGCTCCGCAGCCCTTCTCTGGAGCTGCTCCCAAACCCCGTGTCCGGCGGGCTGTCGCAGGGTCCCCGCTGTTCCCAAAGGGCGAGGGCTCAGCCCTGAGCGGCTGCACAGGACACCCCACGCTCTTCGGCCGTGCCCGGTCAAGGGACTGGCAGGAGAATCAGCAGGGGCGAAGGGGGGTTCTGCAGCCCAGCAGAAGGTTTCCCACACCAGTGAGAGGGAAAGGACCAGGTTTTGCAGTAGCTCTTCCACCACCGTGGCCTTGGCACCGTACCATCACAGCAGTGACAGACACTTTTCTTCCCAAAAGATTTACTCAACTTTTCAGTAGATGCCCCAGGTACAAATAGCACACAATACTGAGCAATGTGTTCTGTTGCAACATAAAAAAGCCAAGAGCTCCAAAGGACGCTGCAAACCATTTCTATATTGACTTTACTGGCACAAATGAAAAATAAGTAACTAGACTACAGGAATATCCAGGCATTTATGAGCAACCACAAACTCCTTTACTATGTCCCTATTTGAGCATAATAATTAAGAGCAACTGTTAAAGAGCAACTCATGAGCCTTTTCCTATTTTATATTAAAGTAGACTATAAAATTCTCAGGCACTTACTCAGCATCAGCGCAGGAGGGGGAGCAGCTGCAGAGCCAACAGACTGGCAGCTCCTGACAGGAAACCTGTAGAGCCTCCTTTGCACAACTGAGCAGTTCTCTTTCTTCAGGCAACAAAAGTGAAAACGATCTGCAAGGCAATGAGCAAAAGCGGTCTGCATGTGGCTGCGGTGCTTACACAAGTCACACACTCATCTTCCCCTCTGTCCTTCGGCAAGACGCTCCAGAAATGAATTGATGTGTTGTCCTCCATCGCTGCCTCCCTGCAACATTACAGCGCCACTCGAGCAAGTTTGGGGGAAAAAAAAAAAAAGGGGAGAAATACTGAAGTGGCACCCTCCCACGCAGCTGATAGGCAAGTGGTCATCAATCCCACAAGCGGACGTCAACCCTGGAAGCGATGTGGTCATTTTCTTAACGCCACATGTCCCAAGCAACCGAGCTTTCCGTTGGCTTCACTTGAAAAAGTAATGACTTCAGCCGAAGCGTGCTCAGGCTGACGGACCATGCTAGAGTCTGTGGCACGTCAAACCAGAACACACCTTACAGCTTCTCCGTCCCGTAGCACTTTAATATCCTTTAAATTAGCTTGGTCAGTTACTGAAATAACAGACAGATGCTCAAGTGAAGAATTCAATGTATATTTATTATTCACAGTTAATTACTATCTACCAAATGCTGCTGCAGAGTTAAAGGATTAAGTACATAGGCCTTTTTTTATTTAAACACTGATTTTTTTTTTTAATATATATACACACACAAGACATATGTCTGCAAGGCTGCATGATATACACCAATTCCAAAATAAGGAAACAATCAAATGGTCCAGGTGTAGAATGCCATAGATTCCTTTTCCAATCACTTCACAAAGAAGGAAGAAAGTGAGTGACAGCTAGCAAGGAGAGGGGGAGAAAGTAATACTCTACAGGATAGCTCTCTCTTTCATCTGCTGGAAAATTAAAAGTGTAAGGCAGAGTCCATCTCAGGAATAAAACATTTGTAACACTTAGTACAAAAAAAGGCACCCTCCAACAAAAGATTGCCCGTGCTCACGCAGGGCAGGAGGAGATCTCCACTGCAGTTTTTGGATTCGTTGGCGGGGTGAAGGGATCCAGCCAAACGGCCATCGAAAGGAAAAATAACGCAACTGAAGATTGGCACAGAGAGCGGTACAGCTTGATTGCTTTCCTTTCCGTCCAATGTAACGTCACACTGCTCTGGTGGAGGAGCCAATGGCCACAATAAATGCCATCACGGTGCGGGGTGGGGATTACAGTCATCACACAGCCTGCTGTGAATGGGGAGCGGGGTGGGGGGAATCTACTTCAACAGTTACACTGACCTGACGAGGGAGGAGAAACTGGAGAACAGTGATGCCAATCCCACTTGTCAAGAGCAACACGACCGCAAATATTCCCTATCCAGGCCAGAGAGACAGGCTGATTACATGCATCATGTAGAAACATTCATTAGTAGCATAAAGTTTTTTTTTCAAGCACTGTTTCTTGAGGTTTCTCTGCATTATAGAGTTTTCCATCGAAGGAATGTACGTTTTAGAGGACATCTCAGGGCTATTATTTCTCAGATTTCCCTCCTCCCCTCCCCCAAATATTCTTCCTCATTTTCTCTGGTCATAACTTCACAACTTCCCCCTTTCTCTTACTTCTTTTGAGGCTCCTGGTTGCAGCTCCTCACCTCTGAGCAGCCTAAGTTGCCACTTGAATGCCTTGATTTTATTTCCTTGGAATAAGGGAAGTTGAACAGTAAGACAAATCTTAATATTAAAGCTCCATCTCCGTTTGTAGATTTTTCTCAAACGTCCATTAATAAAACCACCCTCCTTTACACCCTTTCCCCACAAGTATTTATTTACACATAGGCAGAAAAAAAAAAAACCTCTGAAAAGCTCTGGACTGTCCTTTTAACTTAAAAAAAATAATAAAAAAGAAAATAAGGGAAAGGCACTATGGAAAAAATTACAGAATGTGCTCAACCGTACACCTTTAAGAAAAAACAAAAAAGCTGTCAGCACAGCATTAACAGACTTCAGTTGTACGCTGGAGTTTCTCAAAACAGCTCTGTGGCTCAAAATAAAGAGAAAAAAACAAAACACCAAAACCAGACCAAAAAGCCACACAATTCTTCTCCCTTCCCCTGCTTGGAAGCTGCTGAGCTTCAGAAGAAAGTGCCAAAGGAGAAGAGACAATAAAAATTAGATTAACACCTCATCTTTCCCAGGCAAGAAGAGCTGAATGTTGAAGGCAAAAGCAGAGACTGATGATTTTTGTTTTTTTTTAAAGGCAGGACTGCGGATTTGGTTCTTTTCTTATGTCCCTTCATGTCAAATGAAGACCGTTTGCAGAGAGAGAAAATACCAGCAGAGTTTCTCCCTTTTCCTTTAACTGCATGGCTAGGACTTTATATGGCATTAAAACTTCATGCACTGATGGACAGAGGAGGAGGGGAAACAAGAAGAGCGAATGAAAGGGGGTAACCCAGGAGCAGCTGAGGAAATTTGTTATTTTCTTTTCTCTCTCTCTCTTTTTCTTTTTTTTTTTAAAGATAAGTTTTGGTGTTTTTTTTCCCCCCCGCCCCTGAAGTTCCGTACTGAGTGAAGGAGGATCACCTCACGGTGAAAGGTGACTCAGGTTTTTATCACCGTGTGATTTTAAGTCACTGGCTGCAGTTAGGCTCTGTATGTGTATTTACTGTTTCTCTGGTTTCTTTAAATAATCTCTAATATTTATCTCTAGATGTTCCGGTTCACTGGGGTCACATAGTTGCGTGGAAACATGCCCGTCTGTCCGTGGCAGGCTCCCTTCCACCAGTTGGGGTCAGAATTGTCAAGGACTTGGATAAAGTCTCCACGCCGGAAACCCAGCTCTCCTTCCTCCTGGGGATCGAAATCGAACAGGGCCTGAACGTATGTTGGTTGCTGAAGAGGGAAAGGAAAAGATACGCAAAGTGAGAATCATCCCCAGCACTCGAGACATCTGCTCCCTCAGGCTCGAGCTTAACTTACACCCGAGTTTAACAACACATTCGGTCCGTTCCATTTCCCTGCAAGTCAGCTTCCAAATTCTGTAAAAAGATGCTAAAATAGGAAAACACAGCCTGTAGAAGACCTCAGAAAAAGTCAGGCTTCTGTGAAAGAGCAGAAATAAAACCAGCAAATGACTCAGATGTTTTCTTTGGGTTTTCCAGTCCTCGTTACCTACTGTAAATTTGTACTCTTATTACAATACAATAGTCTCTTTGCTTATTCACTCTGTTTTCACCGACAGCGTTAATATTACTAATCTACCCTGCACAGTGATACGCAAAATTCCCTCTAAAACCTGGATGCTGACATTTTACATGTTTTCTTTAAAACTCTTCAACAGCAAGAAGTTGCCATAGAGTATTTTGCCCGATCAGCAAACACTTCCATTCTTATGGAAAAAACTAACTGTTCATTGAAAATGCATTTGCATTTTTAAAATCACGAGGCTAGGAAGGGGTCTTCATGCTTATTATTTTCAGCCACCTATTTTCTCATCCTGTGTTTATCACTGACCCGGCAGCCAAACTGTGGCAAAGGGTGCCCACAGCACCTGGCGAGCAGCACGAACTCCTCAGCCCTTGTCTTCAAAAGCCAGAACTAGAACGCTGCACATGGAAGCAAGAGGATTTATCCAAAATGGACCCCCCCAAAAAAAATCCAGTTACATGCAACATTACATTCTGATCACCCTGGGAAATGGGACAAAACAAAGAGCGAGATATACACAAGCTGCTCTGCTGGCACTCAGCGGTAGTTTTTGGGTTCTCTGACACTGGCTAGATACAAACCACAAGGTCAGAGCCGTTCCAGATGTTACTCCCTGTAACCACGTCTTCAGGAAAGACCAATATCAAAACTTCACTGGCTACTGAGGGGTACGGTCCTGGCTATGAAGCAGTATAGACAGAACTATCCTTTCTTATGACATTCTAAAACAGGAATAAACCATTTTTAATTCACAGGAATCAGATGACTTCTTGCAACAGTATCGGTAAACATTAAGTTTTTTTTCCTGCAGCACCACCACCACCTTGCCAGAACTGCAGGGGAGACACGGGAGTTCGCAGGTAGGCTTTGCACAAACATCCACATATTTACCAGCGTGAGTCTGGCAGCATGACCTAAAGATACACTTCCACAGACAAGAAAACGTCAGCCAGCTTCCTTCCACGCCTATTCATTTACTCTGAAATGCCATCCATCCCACTTCAGACTGTGGTTGCAATAGTGTAAACAGCGCACTCTGTGAGGACACTTTTCTTACCTGTGGCACCTGTTCAATGTCCCGGAGAAATATCTGCTGGTTCCTGGAGACAGATGTGGATCTGTGATAATCTACCAGCTCGTTCAAAGAATTGAACTTCACCACCCAGAGGAAATATTTGCCAGCCCCATCTCTAAGCACCTTGAAGTGCTGCACATCATTTCCAAACCTGTGCACAAAGAAGGAAGGACACAAAGCAGTACATTATTAGTCACTGAGTACTCCTCCTGCAGGATTTTTTGTTTGCAACAACAAGCTCCTTCAGGGCACAGTGAAAACTGACGACATTGATATTACAGATACCAGTTGGCTGCTGTAAAAAAGATGTCTGAAAACCACTTGTCAGCTGCATTTTACAGAAGTCAGTGATCAGACAGAATCCAAAAACTGAATTTATTTCTAGAAAAATCCTGCAAAAGCTTCACATACGCTTTTCTTACAATAGAACTTCTGATTTCAAACCGCTCTGAATCTGCAGAAGTTTGAGGTCTTTTCGTAAAGGCTGGCACAACACTATCTTGCATGGCACTCAATATTTCAACTTTTTACTTTACACAACATTGCCACACAGCTGGCCTCCAGTACACGCACTGCCTGATAGACACGTGCAGCCGCCCGAGTCACTGCAAACAGCGCAACGAATACGCAGGGCATGTGCCACGGACTTTGCGGTAAGAATACAGCGTCACGTCAAAGTAGCTGCACCATGATGTCTTCCGATTCACGTTCCCAAGTACAAGACTTGGAAGTTGAACAGTACAAGTGCTTTGGTTTGTACTTCTCACAGTCCCTGCCTCACACAGCACCACCGGGTATTGCGTAGTAACGCAATCCACGGCTATAGGTAAATCGCTGGGAAAACTGCCGCAGGGAGGGTAGCATTGTCTCTTTTGGTAGTCTGGACTTATGCAAAAGCTCTTGCAAAACAAAAGAATCTCTCTGGCTTTAAAAAAAAACAAACCAAAACCAACACCCCAAAACACCTGAAAGGTGACGCTGCACGTGCAACACAGCCATTTCAATACTGTGTTAACAATTCCGACAGATGATGGCATTCAGTTGAAGCTACTTTTCCAGCAATCGTATTCTGAATATAAAGAAATTGCAAAGAGGCCCGCTAGGATTTTCCAGATGAATGGCATATCGGTATTTTTACTTCAGTCTAAACCACTGAAAACAGAAGACAACTGTTCCCAGCTTCTATACATTGGCTGAAAGAGGAGACATGATCTCGGCTACAAAGCTAAGGTGAAACAACTCCTGAAAGCCTCTGCTCTCCCACCCTAAACCTCACCATTTCAAATCTCGCAGATCACTGTTTAGGAAAAAGACTTTTCTAAATTAAACAAACAATTAAAAAAATCAACTAAGAAATCACCAGTAGATGGCAACACTAAGCTAACAAGCAGGCAGAGCTATGCTATCATAACTTTATGTTTCTTAAAGGAATGAAGCTTCCATTCATATCTAATATTCCAGCTCAGATTATTTTATCCAAGACAGAAATACAAACACCTCTAAAATCAGTTCGTTGGCATGAGTCAGTGCTGCTGCACAAAAAGACAGACCAAAGACGACCATGAAAAGAGCAATCCCGTTGAGACGGATCACACTGACAGACACAGAAAATAGAGCAAACTAGGACCTGTGCATGAATAATAAAAAAACTGTAAGGAATCTAAAGAAAATCTTGTTCATTTCTGGTAGGAAAGGACAAGAACATAGAAATTTAAAAAAGGCAAAAATCAACTGCTGAGGACAAGATTCCTCTCACCCCCAATTCACGTTAAGTTAAATCGTACACTCTTGCAAGTTTCTAACACCTTTATTATTTTACAGTGACTTCAAAGGGGCAAAATAGGCAGCATGGTATCCTGTGGGCCACGGCTGAGTAGCAGGTTACTCAAGGATGAGAACTACTGCTCCTCACTTCACTGTTATTAGACTGAGTTTCTCTACCAGCATGGAATGCACTTGTGAGAGATGACAGAGGCTTCTGTTTTCACAGCTCCATGTCTTAGAGCTAGACAACATGAACATCCCCAAAGGATGTGCCAAGCAGACAGGAAAAACATATTTGGAGGTGTCCTACACAGAGAGCAGAGAGAGAAGTAACTGGTAATGCAGAAGAGGAATCAAGGAACGTGGCAGAAAACATGGCACACTGGGCACTTTGTGGCTGTAAGGAGGAGGGATGGGATCCCCAAATCCACCCACAGCTGGCCCGATTACCACGGGATTGCTGCTGGGCATTACTTACTTGACCGAGAGGGAGAAGTCCCCGGGAGCGCTCTCACTCTCCCTGATGAGGAAGGCACCATCGTGTCTCTGTTTGCCTAACATCTCTTCAGCCTTCGCTCGGGGAATCTTTCCAAAAAACCACCTGTGCAGTGAGGAAAAGAAAACAACAGGGTAAGTTAAGAATTTTAATCCTTTCATGGAAGAGCCAGCTGTAGATATTCACAGAAGGATGAAATGATTCCTAACGGAAATAACTACACAGCCCCTCACTGCCACTCCAACACAAGCTGCTCAACCACGCAGCTTTTGACAACGTTTTGTCCTAGAAAGGAAGCAATCGTACCTTGCTAAGCTTGCAGTAGCCCTATTTCACCCGGCTTAGCAAAACTCAGATGTGGTAATGGTGAAATCCTCAAATTACAGGATTTATTTTCACAGATGGAAAAAAACCTGCTCAGAATGTAAGGCATTATTCACATTGATTTGCACCCTATTGTATATGTGGTTTAGGACATAGGACATCACAACGAGAATCTAATGTACACAACTGCTTCACAGAAAAGTTCTGCTTGTTGAGACTAAGACGACTACCCTGGGAACTGGCTATAACCTTGGACAAAGTTAAAATGTCTACTGACATCTCAGTCGTCAGGCTTCATAACCTAAAGTCAAACACTGAATGCGTAGCTCAAGCAACAAGGAACTCAAGTCCCTTTTAGTATCACTAAAGAATAAAGCGTCATATCTCTACATGTGAAATTTTAATTGTTCAAATTGCACGATGCCATCAACTCAGAGAAAACAACAAAGTCCTGCACTGGTGGCTGGTCACTACTGAAGTTCCCTGTGATACAGCAGCACTTGTTTCATTATGAGTACCCAAAGATAAACAGTGGGGAATAATTACACAGTCTCCTTTATTACTTGTGCCTCCTGAGCAGAAGCCACCCATGCCTTAGCCATATAGAAATCAAATTATTACGGACTAAGCACAGAAATATCACTATTTTAATGGGTACAATTATTATGTATTTTTTAAAAAGGTAGTATTTGCAAAATGCAAAGGAAACACTGGGAGTTGACTCACAGGTTTCTCTTCAGAAATGTCACAGTTGTAGAAACAAGATCCTGTCTATGGATTGACCCACCCTGCACAAATGGAAAGTGCATTTTAAATCAAAACCAATTTTCGATCTCTCTAGGTCAGGTGCTAAGACATGAATACTTCAACAGAGAGAATGAGTAGCTCCATTCAGTAGCTGGGTGTTCCTACAGCCCTGAGTCCGATTTTTCTGACCACTACGAGAGCACCGTGGTCAAAGATAGGGCTCATACATCAGAAAGCCAAGAGACAGGTGCCAGGAGCGGACTTACACGCAGAGTAAGTGAGGAAAGTCCCCTCAAGGTCTCTCTGCTTCATTGCAGAGGAGTGCTGAGCTGGGCAATTCGGTCTCAGGGAATGCATTTCTAGGAAAGATGCCGATAATACTTGCTTTGCTTTCTCCTACAGTCAGGACAACCTGGCAGCTTTCACACAGGCAGTCACATGGAATCGTTGCACCATGGAAGCCACATCTGAGACTCTTGACCGCTGCACAGAACTCAAAGCTGCAGGCTGACCGCCCCCCTGACACCGACGGTGAGCTGACCTCAGGCAACCAGATCCTCAGCACTGACCAGCAGCCCCCCGGTCATGGGATTCTTACCCACGGTTACATTTGCACTTCTACACTGATCCAAGATTAAAGGCAAACGAGGGCTGAGCCGTAGGTCACATGGCGTGGGAAAAGCAGAACCATCTTCACAAGCCAGAAGTACAGCTTTCAGTTCTGAGGAACAGATCCCACAGGACAGAAGCACTTACACAGCCTGTAACACGCAGATGACTGACCTCAGAGGAGAGCAGTTAATAGCAAGAGCTGCACTCACAAACTTCACTTTCGAAGATGAAGGTTTTGGTGCAACAAAAAGACAGATGTTGCAAAATATCCTCCCTGCAACAGTAATTCTTTTTCGTGAAGTTACAAAGTCACCAGATCTTCCTCTCTAAGAGGATGATCTCTTGAGGTGAAGGACTGTAACTATTCGACTACCAGAGCCTCCAGCTACTCCTCTCGCTGGGTGTCTTCAGTATCTGCCCACTACTGGAGACTACACAAACAAGGAGCCCTGTATTATATCAAGATTGATGAGTCCAGAGATGTATTTCTACTATATGTGATCTATTCAATAAAACAACTCCAGGACATGCCCCCTGTAAAAGGAGGATTCTCTCCATTTAGCTATGCAGCTCCATTATGAAAAGTGTTTCAACACCGAAAATGATAGATCTTGTTTACAAACTCCACTTCCACAAACATCTAGACGTGTTTTACTTGCTTGCAAGTCTTGTGTACTTTTTATCCCCTGGAATGCAAAAGCTTTCTTCCACAACCATCCTATTTCCAGTGACAAATAACTTCATGGTATTTAGTATTTTTCTGGTATTTATCAGAACCAGAGGTGGTGGCAGAGACAGCAGAGGCAGTGTGTACCTGTCTCTTGCTGCACTCTGCCACCCTTAAAAATCAACCACGGGAAACTATCATCTGAAACTTCTTCAGAATTCAAAGGTAGTATTTTGTTCTCTGGGCACAACTGTCAGAAAGATAAAGTCATGCATTTTGCCTCTGCCAAGTGGCACATAAAGCAAGCTTTATATTACGATTTTAGATATCTTGCCATAGTTTTTAATGAAGTGTTTTAATTCTGTTTAGTTGTCAAATAATTGTCATTCGCATGCGACTTGGAAATGAAAGCCTCATCTTAAAAAAAACTCAAAACACGTCACCCGTGTCTGTAAAACCGAAAGTCTGAAAGAGCTCAAGAGAACAGCTATAACCCTTCCTGAAGCCTCAGAACTGCACACTGTTTTTCCCTTGAATTTTACACAATCATTACAAAGCAGAAGTGTACAATTTGATTCAGGAAGTAACACTTCCAAAGTAACAATATAAAATTCTTAGTTTTCTGCCAGCTCTTTAAGGCATTTTAAATAGAAAGACTAAAAATCTTTCACAATTCTTGAACTCCCTTGCAGTTTTATGACTTCACGACCACTTTACCCTTTCATAGTAAAAGGAGCTTCTAAAGAAACTAAAAACAGAATTCTAAATATAAAAAGATTAAGAGAAACCCCCACAGATGAAAGAAATAATCTTATTAAGTGGGCAGGACTACTGTCTACTTAAGACCATGCTTGTAAAACATCGTTAAGTGTTGTGCGCTTATGACTCCTTCCTACAGAATGACTGAAAAACCCAACAACAAAAAAAATCCCACATAGAGAATTAGGACAAAGAAACTGAGCCCAACATTCCCACAGCTTCCACGCCAAAGGGCTACGCTTGATAACACTTGTCTCCAACGAACTTTTTAATGTAGGTGAAACTCAGCCAGTCAGCACAGCAAAACCAAACCCAGCCGTTCATGCTGATGCTGCAGAGCTCAGAGGCAGCCGCGCTGACTGGCACGACCCAAAGCTCACAGCGCCTGCAGACTCACCCCGGTCGGCAGTTTGGCAATTCTTTTGGCTTTACTTCGCACAACCATTTAGCTCGGCCAACTTCCTCCACCTAAGATACAACACTGCAAAGTGAGACCTCAGCAGTATCTGCAAGAGAAGCTGATGACGGACGCGAGCACTCGAGATCCATCTGCGCAGCGCGAGCCTGATCCAGGCCCCTCGCAACCAGCGACTTCTGCCCCTTGCCGAGAGCAGAGCAGCCCCGCTGAGCTCTGCTGCTGGGCCCTCACAGGAAGCCTCCCTGCCCAGAGCTTCCTGCAGCTCTTCTCCGAGTATCAGCCCCTGTCTGCTTACATCTTTGCTTGGATGATTGACGTGGCAGTTCAGATTAACCCTTCAGAACCCAAGGGGACTCAGCTGGCAACCGAGAGTTGCCACATTCTCCTTCCGGCTTTATTTGCTAGTAGTTACACGGCAAACTAAGATTCACAAAGCACAAGCAAGAAGAAACACAGCATTTAAGACTGGCTGTGGGGCTGGAGGATTTAAAGCTCAGATCCTAGGGGAGATTTAAAGCCATTTTCAATTGCTTTCTTTTCAAATCCTCTTGAAAAGCTCTCGTGCCACCTTCTCACAATAGAATTTGACACTAGCCTGAGAAAAGGAACATTCTCCTTCTCGTTCCTGGTCAGCTGCCTGCAATTTGCTTTTTTTATGACCTGTATGACTACTAAGAGAGCTCTGTGATACAGCTAAGCAAACATTATGCTATAAAAACTTTTGCATAATTTCCCAGGATTGTTAATGCACTAGTTAAGACTCCCAGCATTGCTGACACACGGAGCTAACTCCATCCAGCTGCCATCAGCAGTTTAAACATCTTCAGAAAAGGTCAAATTAATTATGCTTAAAAAACACTACCACCAAATTCACCCACTTGCAAGCTCAGATATTGCTCATTCCCCTTTGGTATCAAAAACCGAAAAACTGACAGTTCTACCGCTCTAAACCAAAATGCCATGGACAACTGCAGAATGAACTCATCATCATCATCACAGGAGACATCACTGCAGTGTAACTCAAATGCCTGCACAACTGTTATGAAAAAACACATCCAAATCAACGAGAGAGAAATTGCAGCGTACATTTGTGATCCTCAGTGGACTAGCACGATCAGGGTAAGCAGCGGACAAGGCTTTAACCAATTTCAGAATTTCTTGTGCATCCTTGCTCCGCTTCCCACTTGGCTGCACTAAAGCAGTACATCTCCTCTTCCTGGGGCACAGTCCTTCAGAAGCTTCCTTCTGCTGTTGCAAAGGAGCCCTTAGAAAAGTAATTCTTGATTGGATTTAACTGCAATATCTTCACAATATAATCACAGCCAACAATTAAGAAATCAATCATCAGTTTTTGCAGGCAATACTACAGCTCCTTGTAAAACCCATGATTATAGGTTCTGCTGCTCCTTTCTAAACCCATCTACCCTTTGATTCTGTTTCCCAGAGCTTGCTGTTTTCTCAAAGGTAAGCAGAACCAGAGTTCAGTAGAAGACAGCAGAAATACATGAACTGACACAAAGAAAACCTCCAGTCATGAAATGCTATTGTTTTCTTATACTAGATTCTTTACATCTAAGAGGAAACGTTTCAAGTATTTACACAACTACTGTTCTCTGGAGCTGCAAATCAACCCAACCACACCTGCGTAACAGCACCCACGGAGGCTGGCCTGTTTTGTGAGGAGAGTGTTGGACCAGACGATCTAAACAATTCTGGGATTCTATAGTGAAGATGTGACAGACACACTAAATGTTCAGTTCCAGATATCCTTAAACATTTTCCTAGTGAGCTGTGAACGCCACCGTCTCTACTCTCACCTACTACGTTAAGTAAAACAGAGAATCATCCCAAGAACACAGTCGTCTTTTTTCCTGGGGCAGTGGTGGTGCCAACTCTCTACTAAAGAGTTTTCTGCTACCCTCGAGACTGGTCTGCCTGACCTACAGCCAAACATCAGAACTACCACCAGAAAAGCTTACCAAATGCCGTGCTCTGCAGCTAGCTGCAAAATGAGTTACACTGAACCCTACAGCCAGAGACACACCTCAATAGCCACCCTTTATCTACCCACACATTTTGGTAGATCTGGTAAGGTACGCTTGGCAAAGTATTCAGCAGAAAACCTCCCTTCTGCTTCAGAGGGTGCGCAAAAGACCAAAGGAGCCGATGGCCACAGCTCTACTTACGGATGGGGTTTCATTTCTATGTAGTTCTTGGGAATGAAGCCGTCTTTTCCATTGAGTTCTGCCTTGTACCAATTCTGATCACATTCTTCATTCAAAACCTGAAGGAAGGAAACAAAAAAATAAACTTACCACATTTTAAGATACAGTGAAACTGATGAAGGTACTAGCTTATTCTTCCTATAATTGTTTTAAAAACTGCTCCTGTAAGATGAACCGATTAAAAAAATCGGTGCTACTCATGCTGCTCCACTGAATCTCACGAACGTTCGGAACTGCCGTGAATGAAGCTGGATGAGCAATTTAATACAGCCAAAGGATTTTATAGCCAAACCCCCACATTTTAGAGAGAGTCACTGTAAGCTCACGGGTACAACACACCTAGACTGAGATTTGTGCAAAAGATTGTTAGCTGTCATCACCAAAAAATTGTGTCCAAAATCTGCAAGACAAAAAATTCAGATCCTGTATCACTTCTAATGATCACTTTTTCTTGCATTCAGCTGACAAACCTTATGCTTTCAGCATAAACGTGATCTCAGCCAGCTCTTCTGCATTTGCACTGGCTGCACACTCTATGTGTGTTAATACCCTAGACAACATCTATATTATAGAGAATTTTACCAGAAAACTCCCTTATGACAACATTAGCACAGGCCCAGCTGCAGACAGAACTGGAGGCTTCAACTGGTTTTGCTCATCCAAGTTAAAACAGACGGTAGAAACACTGACTTGCCTGTTGAGCATTTGTTATGTTAATAAAGCAAATTAAACACAAACAGCAAATACAGATGAACAGAGGTGTTGGGTTTTTTTTAAGGAATTCTTTTCCTAATATAACTTTATTGTAAAACCAATGAAAGATCAGGAGTCACAAGGAAGGAGTCACAAGAACAGGTAGCTTTAAAAAGCACAAATTGATATTTCAAAGCATACGTGCTCTTAAACTTTGGTGCTTTATTCTGCATTGAATTTCTGTCAACTGGTACAGCACAGCAAGCAATCTTGGTAGGCTGAGAGACTTGAGAGCCTGAAAGCAGTCTCTCAAAGTAGTATTATGTTCCGTAAATATAGTTTGAGATTACCTCTCCCCAGAAGGATTTCATTTGGTGCTGGAAGTAAAATATCACACAGAAGCCACCCCTCCCCTTTAAAATTAAGCACCACAACACCACCTTTCCCTGAGCACTTTTGTTCCTTCTCGGTTTTCTGAGGTTTTTGAACTTTGTGACAATGGCCAATAAAAAGCTGGATCCGAGGTTGTTTTTATTTAAAAAAGAAAAAGAAAGAAGATACTTAAAGCCTCAAGTCACAAAAGTATCACATGATTAGCATTGCCTGAATGCAGGAAGATGAGGAAGTGGAAAGACAACATGAACGCGGATCCCGAGATCACATACTAAATACACACACACAGTTATGGTGAAGATATCCACCAAACCCCACAAATTTTCATAAGCTTTTATTGTAATTTCTTACTTTCTTTTTGCTATCTCACTGTTTCTTTTTTGGAAGGGTGAGGAAAGAGGAAATCTTAAAAAGAAAAAAAAAAGGAAAAGCAAACAAGAATTTGCAAGTGCAGGCCTTCAAATTCTTAGAGCTGATGGGAGTGCTTCAGAAATTCAAATTTAAAGATCAGCATTTGCTGTCTTTCAGAACTATGTGACATATCAACACCCTCACAGCTGACTGCCACATATAAAAGAGAAAAATCTCAACACCTACTGAAATCAAATGCAGTACAACAGAAAGAGAACATAGTCTCAAGCCTCTTGGGTGTTCCGTAACTCCCAACCGAACAGCCGTAACCCGGCTGTTCCGTAACTCTCGGCTGAAGGGGCTGCTGACAGGAGACATCCTCCAGCTGCCAGCACGAGCAGCTGGGGAACTGGCACAGCAGCAGGGCCACACCAGCAGAACTCCAGGTGAGCAAAGACAGGCACATTTATGGCCCATTTCAGGATATTTCCAGTTGAAGGGACTTTAATACCTCAAAGACTCAAATACCTCAAATTCTTTCATACAGACACAAGCATTCAAGCTATCTTTTTGCTGTCACTACTGCAGGCTGCCATTTGTTTACAAGCATCATTTTAGGGTTTCGCATACATTACGGTTCAGTCATTTAGCAAGGATAATCTGACCCCAGGCCATGGGCAGGTCAAGCGTGGCTCTGTTCGAAGCTTGCCCAGGAGCGCTGGGGCAGGTCAGCTCACGCCGGCCCAGCTGCCTCGAAGGGAGAAAGTGGTACAGAAACTCCTTCAACTCTGGAGAATGAAATACAGGTACATGGCACCAGCAGGCAGCTCGAGGATATTGAGCGGGACAGACAAGAGACTGAAAACAGGCGTGTTATAAAGTGAATTGTATAGCGACTGCGGAGACAGAGGGCACAGGCTGAACGAAGCACAGAGCTACCACTCAGGGAAAGATTTTGGCACGCAGCTCAAATGAGGATCACTAGACTAATTTACAATACAACGTAACACAAAGACGACACATTTTGATGTGATTTCTAACAAGGCAAATCTTACGCAATAGCCTGCATTCCTTTATCAAAGGAATTCACTGATATAAACCTTTGAGAAGGTTGTGTGCTACAAACTCCTTTCAACGCCATCAGAGAGCAGTTAAGGGATATGGCAGTCTGCTCTTTTTTCCAAGAATAAGAAAAAAACAACACGGGTAAATTGTACCTTCATATGAAGGACATTACCACGTATTTGTGCTTTTGGCAGTAGGTATTAAAAGTTATCAGAAATTCTAATGCCCAAATGTAAATTATTTTAATGAGTTTTATCTTGCTCTGAAGATATGCTAATAGATTTGGAGGAGCCAAATCACACAGGGCTCGGGGTACTCGTTAATGCTTGGCCCCAAGCCAAATGCCAGCAAGGAAGCGCTGCTGAGGCGTGCATTAAGCTTTGAGAGGAGAAAGGAAAAAACAGTGGGACAAAAGGCACAGTAAGGTGAACTGCCTGCACATCTGCATGTACAAAATGCTCAGGGCACCTCTGCTGTACTAATGAATCCTCCACAGCTTCCCCCCGCACCTCGGCTTCAGAGCCTTTGTGTGCTCCAAGGACTTTCCTGCTCCACACCCCGACTGTTGGATCTCCAGAGCCGTTGTCCTTTCTAGGATCATCTTAACGAGCTGTCACAGCTCCATTCACAGCCTGGCGGACACCCAAACTGCCCGGGCCCTGCACCACACACCAGGGAGCTTACACACAGTCACCCTCCAAACACTCCTGGTTGTTCCCTTCAGCCTGTTCTCTTCCAGAGGCAAAAGAACACGCTGTGGTTTTGGTTTTTTTTTAAACAAAGCTCCACCCACGTTCATGTACCATTTCAAGAGCAGTCACCTCCACAACGCAGATACCTACACAATCAATTTTTCTGACAGTGTCTCAGACAGACACCGCTGGAGCTGCTCTCAGCGCTCAGTCAAGCAAAAATCACTTGTACTGAAGTAACTTCAATTCAGGACAACTTTGCAGTCACATGCACGAGGCTGCAATTCTGGCGACTGCTACGAAGCTGTGTAGCTATTATTATGACAACTGCATAACAGTCATGTTAAAATCTCAGCTTTCACAATAACTCATGCTACCAACATCCCTTAGTGAAATAAACCTAAAAAGTAAGCTGGGAACACATGTAAGAACTCTCCACACTGGTGTATCCACTTAGACCTTTACATGCGACATTGCTCTCTTTTCTTTTAAATGATAAACACGCTGAAATGAAAGAACTGACTTTAAGTAACTAAACCATTTTGCTACAAAACACTTAAAAAAAAAAACAAAACACCCAGTAAATCCATTTATCCCATACCTCCACCTGGCCTCCAAGTGATTTCAAGATATTAATAAAGATTAAAATTTATCATCTGGACACTTAAGAACCAGTGCTATGCCTTAAGAAAAATAGAAGATTCTTAACTGAACTATGTGAGATGTTCCCAGACTTACCAAAGCTGTAAAATTTAGCCTAAGTACTGCATGTATCATTGGATTTTGCTTGGAAATTTTCCCCAAGTGTAAATAAATACAGATAAAATAAGCAACAGAAAGAAACTTAGAAGACGCACTGGTCCAAATCGAGCAGCCTCTAGAGTCTGCAAAAAGTCTAAAAAGCACGATCACGTATCTCGACAACTGTTACAAACTGCTGCTCTCGGTATAGGTCAAAACATAAAGCATTTCTTTGCAGCCAGTCCCCCTGCCTGCTGCAGATCTAATCAAGTCTATGTCAGAGCAACTCTTCCTTTCACACTGGGGCATCTGTGCCTGAGAGGAGGAAGAAGGAAGGATATTTTTAGGCACCGCATTTGAACACACACTGCCATGTGATGGCCTCAGCCTGCAGTCAGCCCTGTTCCACAGTAACAGTGGCTCAACTGCTGCCCATCAGCTTCCTAGTCTGATAACAGATCTCCTATCAGCAAAAGCCCATCTGTTCCCATGGAAGTAGAGGAGCCGCACAAGTTTTCACTAGAACAGTTGACACACAAGCAGCATCTCTGCCGTTCTCAATTCCATACACAGCAAGTTTTTCTAAGCACGGCTTTCCCACCCTTGTGGATTGTTGCATGTTGGCCTTGATCCTCTCAAAACCAAATGACTTTGAGGAACACGCAGGCACTGAACTAGAACATAACAAGCAGTTCTGGCATCTCGACTCTCAAGCTGACTCCTGTATGCAAACCTGAAGCTAAACCCAAACCCTCAAACGTAGTTACGCACTTGCAAATTCAGCTGAACTGATCAGAACGCTTGGGTTCTGGAGAGACCAAACCCAAAAACCTTGTTCAGAGAGGGCTCTGAGTTTTGGTCAAACCTCCTCTTCTCCCTGAACTGTAAGGTTTTGGGATTCTTGCTGTGCTCACTGAAACAGAAGGTAACACGGTAACAGGTACAACCTGTTCACCACAAAGAAAACAAGGCAGTACATTAAAAACACTCCCAAAGTCACTGGAACCCAAGGAAAGTGCTCATGAAACTGAAACTAGGGTAGGAATTAAAATTTTAAAAGTGAACAAATTATTTAAAGGCAGCAATTCTGCAACTGAACTTTTAAGCCTGGAAAACACTTGTTC